TCTCTCTCTCTCTCTCTCTCTCTCTCTCTCTCTCTCTCTCTCTCTCTCTCTCTCTCTCCCCTTCCCTCTCTTTTATGGAGTGTCTTAATATTGAGAAGTTTCCCTTTTTCTCAGGATAAATTTTCTGGATGTCCTTAATATGTTCCAACCCAACATCCCTTTCTTGAAATATTCTTACTCTCTACATATAGAGTTTCCACACACTTTTAATTATTAGTTTGCCAAACCCCACCTAGTATGCTTTCTGTTCCCTTCTGCACTCTCTGCTCTGCCCCCTTTTGCACATTACCTTTCCCTAATAGATTGTAAACTCTTTGAGGACAGGCACTATTTTTCTTTTCCTTATTTATATTCCCTGTATAATATAATTTAGGAAATGCTGGATTAGATCACTTCCAAGATCCCTTATATCTTAAAAATCCCATGGTTTTAGAGGATATAAAATTATACCTTTGATAAAATCCAGTTTATGTTGGATTGGTCCCCATTAAATCTGACACGATTGCATTTGTATGAGTGTATAGGAGGCATTTTCTTACCTCCCCAAGTGCCAGTGCCTCCCAAACCAAAGTACCCTGTATTTATTTTACATATAATTTTATAGGAACACATTGAATCCCCTGATAGAATGTAAACACCTTGAGTGAAAGGAGTGTGTCACTTTTGTCTTTGAATCTCCAGTGCTTAGCACAGTGCCTGACTCCAGGTAGGTGCTTAATAGGTATTTGCTGATTTTTTGATTGATTGGTGCTTGGGGAGGACTGGCACCTCTGGTGTGAGGGCTTAGAATAGTGCCTGGCATACATTAGGCACTTAATAAATGTTTATTGTGTTGTATTGTACTTCTTCTGAAAAGAGGCACATAGTTCACATTTCTACATTTTAAGTTTTGCAAAACACTTCCCTTACAATACTCTCTTTGAGATTGAAAGTAAAAATTATATTATTCTTATCCTGCTAATGAAGAAATTGAAGTTCAGGGAATTTAAATAACTAGTCCATGGTTTTGCCCTAATATTTGAGTTGGGAGTTGCTCTCAGGTTTCCAGACTTCAGACTTCTTGTATTTCTAACATACTTTTCCTTTAAAAAAGATAGCTTTACAGGACCATAGTTCTAGAAATACTTCAGAGGTCATGTAGGCCTGGTGCATAGTAGGCACTTAATGAGTGTTTATTGATTGAGTTATTGATAGTCCAACTTCCTCATTTTATAGATGAGGAAAGTGAGAACAAGAAAGGTAAAGTGATGTATCTGAGGTCACACATATAAAGCAAATAGAATTTGAACTCAGGTACTGTGTGTGTGAAGCCAGCGATCTTTCTATAGCACCACGCCAACTCTTATCAGCCCACTCTCAGCATTATAAACATGACTGTACTTACTGATCAGTTCCATTGTCTGGTGTACCTGGAATAAAATACAGTAGGTGATTTATGTTAGAATCATAGAATTTTCCAGCTGGAAGGAACTTTAGAGATTTTTTAATCCAATCCCTGGCTGCAGAAGGACAAAATAAAATATAACTGCAACAACAACAACAATAATGACAAAAAACTCCTTATTTACAGCTGCCAATACCTAAGGAATGATTCTGTGTGGTTTCAGAATTCTGTGTTGAAGTTCCTAGAGCCAACTTATGGTTTCTTATTCCCCATAAACTATTTCCTTGGGTTTGGTTACCCAGGAATTTAGGGGGTCCTCCTGATTAGGCCAGATCCAGAGACCTTAGTTCCCAAACAATTAAGAGAACTCTGAGTTTTTCTTGGGGCCCTGTGATTCCATGCTGCTGTGTGAGCATGCTGCCCATTATGGCAGGTCCTACAAATATCTAATGTCACTCTAGTGCTCCCAGGCACAGTGGATTAAATTACTTTCCAGACAGGAGAATTGGATTTTCCACTTTCTCCTTTGTGCATTTCTCTTGCTCGGGATGCAAATCATAGTTTTTGCTGAGCAGCAATACCGCAAACTCCTGCTTGCAATTATCTCTCAAGGCAATAGTTAGAACTAGCCCCACAAAAACATCACCCAAGATGTTGCTGAAGTTAATAAAATGCAGCTAGGTCCCCAAATGTACTGGGATTCATCTGGTAGAAAACACATTGGGGTGTGGAATTTTACTTTTGAATTGACGATACTGGCAAACAAACAGCCTTGTCCCTTGCTTGGGTCTTTGCATTTCACAATGACCTTGTCTCTGTACTGTTCTGTTGTGAGGGTTTTCTTTGGCCATCTTTCAAAAAGGGCTTTTTTTTTTTAGTTCATTTTTTCCCCCAGAAGCTACATGGACTTTTCTGTAGCCTTACTCCTTCTTTCATTAAGTGCCTTTTCTCTGAGATTACCTCCCATTATGATATGTGTGTATGTTTATGTATATATGTACACACATATACACATATATTCACATGTGTATGCATGTGTATGTATACACACACACACACAGATATACACACATGCGTGTGCCTGTGCTCTGTGGGAACCAAGTTAAGCTAGTAACTTAATCCTCTCCCCCTCCCCAGACACTGAGGTGGTGCAGAGGGGGAGAGGAATGTGGCTCCCATGTGTTGGGGAAAGGGGGAGTAAGTTTGTATATTTGTGATTATACTTTCTAAACTAAATATTCCTTTGTAAAAAGGTTGAGAGTGTTTCATACATATATGTGTGTGTGTATGTCTCCCTCTGCATATATGTATATATGTATATGTACATGTATATATGCATGCATATGTATGTATGTATGTATAGACACATATGTATATAGTTGTTTGCATGTTGACTCCCTCCAGTGATTCACATTGCAGTCTATCTCTGCCTGCCCATCCTTTGAGACTCTTGTCCATGATCTTCCCAAAGTTTACCACGTAAATTCCACCCAACATGTTCCAAGCCCTCCTCATTTACACCATAAGAGTATCAACAGAGCAGGATGGCGGTCCATCAGTCATCCTTCATTTTTGCCATGGGAGCTGCCCATCTTTTCTTCCTTGCATGTAATTTCTTAATTATTTCCTCACTCCACTTCTTCTTTGGAGTTCCTTAGTGGTTATGTGTGACATCCTGATCACACCCACCATGTACCTCTCCATTACCTTCTTTGTTGCACTCATTTTAGTTCTTCAGAAGCAGTGATGCATAGCTAACTTTCATTAAGAACCCAAAATAAAATACTAGTGTTGAAAAATGGGTCTATACTTGCATGGAAAGCTTGGGTTCAATCAAAGAGAAGACAAGAGGGCAAATCTAAGCATAATTCAGTCTGCTCTCCTCCTTTCCAACTCTGGGTCAGGATCATTGTCTGTCTGTATGGTCTGTCCCAGATATACATGTTATTGGAAACATAAAAGTTGTTGCTGTGTGAGTAATATGCTAACTCCTTAATCGCCTGTGAGATAGTCTAATTTTTTTTAAGGCATCGAAACCATTCTTGAAACTTGATTAGCGCAAGGGGTTGGAGATTAAGACTACTGACATAACTTCCTCATTGCCTGGTTATTAAAGGGGTAGGAGTAGCTCCTGGCATGCTCTGATGTTTGGCTGTAGGAGCACGAATGGAGACATTTTTCATCCATTTAGTCTTCAGAGAGGCCAATCTCCGTTGAGTGATTTCCTGTTTCTTGTTGGGGGCTCTTTGATATGCTGAAGTTTGGTTCAGTCACTACAATGTTATCCACAAACAGGAGAATCAGGAGGACCTTACAATCTACAGGAAATTCCTCTTTGACCTGGATTCTGAACTGAATCTTCTCTGTCACCATGACAAATGAATACACTTGGTGAGCATTCAGCTCCTTGCTTAACACCTCAAACAATGTTTATTATCAGAGGGTCATTGAACAGGACTAATTCTATTACCATATCCTCTAAGGAATCCTGAATGATCTTCATCTATGGATTCAAGACAGTTTGCTCTAAAACATATTTGAAGGTAATGTTTTGTTCCACCCAATCAAAACCTTTTCCACAATCAACAAACAATAAACACAATAAGATCTTTTGCTCTTTCAGTATGTTGTAAAATGATAATGATGGTCCATTGTTGAATATTGCTTAGGAATGTTTCCTTCTTCCATCCTAATCCCCTTATTAAGGGTACCTTCCATTCAGGTATAGATTACTCTCATAAAGGTTTTACTTTTTTCCCCCAGTAGATGGCAGAATAAACACTTAGGTTGATGCACTTATTCTTAACTTACTTTTTTTCTGATACTAACAAGGTCCAATATATTTTCCATCATTTGGTATCTTCCTCTCTTTTTTTTAGAAACCTTGTAAATCAGTCCCTTAATATCCTCACAATTATATCACCTCCAATATAATCACCTCTCACTATATTTGTCCAACATGGCTCCTTTTGTTTTCTTCATTCTCTTTAGTGCCATTTCTCCCTCTTCTAAAAGTACCTCAGAGACTGTGGTGTTAGTTCCAATTATAGTGAATCCATCATCCTCGGTGGAGAAAAAGTTAATAAACATTTATTAAGAGCTGAAGTTACAAAGAAAGACAAAAGATAGTCCCTGTTCTCAAAGAGCTCATTATCTAACACAAAAGGACAACACATAAAAAAGAAGCTAAAAAGACAGTTGGGGTGAGGGGGAGGAGAAGGTACCCAGCGGACAGGGGCTCATGATGAAACCCTGAAGCTGGTGGGAAATGATGAGATGGCTGTTCTGGGGCTCCTGAGAAATGGAGGGTCTAGAAGGAGCTCTCTGAAGTCTGACTTGACAATCAGAAGGGGGGAGAGGTTCCAGGGGCAGGGCGTGTTAAGGAGGTGTGAATTTCAGGTTTGATACAACTTTGTGGGATGTTGAGTTTCTGGAGACTGCAATGAAGTACAGGAGATCAGCTGGGTGGAAAATTTTCATTTTTGAATGTCCTTGGGACAATTGGTTGGTAGGATATCTCGCCACACTGACCTTAAACTGACTTTGCGCTTTGCTGTCTTTCTCTGTTTTATGAGGTGATACTGCTCATAACCATACATCATTCTTCTTCATAAAATATGCAAGATGAATTTATATTTTCATCTAGTGTTGCCTTTGGTGGCCATCTCTCTCCATGTTATGCAAATAATTCAGATATCTTCAGACTAAGGCTAGGCTTTTTTGGTCTTCTTGTTGTGGTAAGTAATTTATATTGTTAAACTTCTCTATGAAATGATTATAGTTGATATTGATGCCAGTTCTGTTGTCCACTTCATGTATTTTATTTTCAATTACTTTTTAATATTATTCAGGGTTTAACAATTTATTTCCACTCCATATCATTTTCTCACCATTATTTCTTGGTCTTATTCTTTTTGTTCTTTCTCCTCCTTCTCCTCCTCCTCCTCCTTCTTCTTCACATTCTGATATTAGCTCCAAGTCAATGGCCTGACTGTACAAAGTTGACTCAAGCATAACTCTTATATCAATAATAGGTCTTTTCCTAAGCATAAAAAAAGCCAATTTTGTTCCATATGTTGTTATTTAGTGCTCTCCATGTTCAGTGCTAACTAGCCCTCTTTTCAAAAAATGAAGTGTTCATGATACAGAGGTGTGTGGTTTTTTTGTTTTTGGTAATCCATAAACCTCTGGACTCCTTCATTTCTCTCAGTGTATAAGTTGAAATTATTTTTTCATGGTAGTCTTTTTATAAATACTTATCATTAATATTACAACATATCATTGTTACATGAAAAGTTTCTTGTAATTTTTGTGTATACCATATAGCCCACTGCACAATTCCTTTAAAAAAAAAAAACTTCTCCAAGGAGTACCTATGAACCCAAGGAGTTCCATGTTTTTCTCCTGGTTTTGTTTATAGTAAGAATGTCGATATCGATATGATTCATCTTTCCCAGAAATATATTTAGCTATTTCACAAGAGTTTCATATTTCAACTACCAGCAGCCAAACTGAAATTTTCATTGATCTAAAAACTCTATGATTCCCACCATTTCCCTACCATCTGCATAGAAGCAGAATGGAGCTGCATAGAACTGAGAGCAATTTTTAATTTTCTTCATTTAATGGGTTGCTTTATGCCCTCCTCCCCCTATCATTGGCTGATGTCCAGACCACTGGTGCTGTCCCTCTCTGAAATTAACTAAATTGATCTTTGGAAAACAGACCCAGTCTGCCACTCAGCCATATTTGAGGCTTTTCCAATGTGGTACAACCTGCCAGAACTTGCACTGTGCTGACAAAGCCCGCAAGAACCCAGGGTCACCTCTATGCCAGGATGAAGCATGGAAGAGGATTTTATGGAGGATTATAGCCCAAGCGGGAAAAAAGGAAAAATAAATCAACTATTCAAAATAGTTGACTCTCACTTCAGAGAAACAATATAAACAAACAAAAGCATAACAGTTCTATTTTTTCTGCCTTTCTACCTCATAGAAGTCAAGTATTAAAAATCTGAATGTCTCACAAGTACCTTCAAATGATTCCATTGTTTCATTTATTATACTTGTCACAAACACATATAAGTCATACCCAGATTATTAATAACTTCCTTTCAAACTGGACCAGTATATAGTCATTGATTTTAAATGGTCCTGAATCGTTTTCCTCATTTGAATTGACTTTCCCATTACAATTGCAAATTGATTTTTTTTAACCATTTAGATCATTTTAACCATTAAACATGACCACAATTTGGTGAATGTCCACACTATTTGGACAATCAATCAACAAGTATTTATTAAGTGCTTCCTATATGCCAGGCACTGTGTTAGGCTCTGAGAATCTTGTTATTATTCCTAAATCTCTAATTATTATAGTTCACTCTGCATTTTCACATACTATTATCTCATTTGCTATGCTCAATACCCCTCTGAGGAAGTGTAGAATCTCAAAAGTCAGAGGGGATCTTGGGAGTCATCTAACCATACCTATTCTTGAATAGGAGTTCCTTTCACAAGATCCATGGCAAGGGAGCATCCAGGTTCCACTTAATTCCTGTGTCCCTATACACCTTTACTATTTGCTAAGACATTCCACTTATAGACAATTCTAATCGTTAGATTACCTCACATTATGCCTAAACTGGACTCTGCAATTTGCACAATTGTGTCCACCTGATCTAGGTAGAACATGTCCAATCTGCCTTCCCCATGTGGGCAGTTGCTCCCATCTTATAGATGTAGAAACTGAAGCTCAGAGAAATTCAACGATTTGCCCAAGGTCACAAAGTAAATGGTGATTCAAGACTTGAGCTAAGATCTTTGGATTTCAAGCACAATGCTTTTTTCCCTATGTCGCATCCTCAGATTTTATAGAGAGCTAACAGGATGGATTTTGCTTACTTATGGAGAAATCTCATCCACATACTTGAAGAGTTTATTAATTCCTGGTGTTCAATGGTAAAATGATAACCATGCAGCAACTTTTATTTTTTCCTTTCCAAATTAAACACTGTCCAGATAACGTGGCTAATTTTGTGAATACCCATTTACCTGTAATATGTGCATGTTAACATATGTTTACATGTCCTTAAGTTAAACTTCTTTTTTTTTTGGTGGGGGGTTGTTCTGAGATTCTTAGCCCATAGATAAATATCCTCATTTGCAGGAAAAATTAACTTCTCTGATAACTTGTTTTTCGATGAAAACCACTTTGTCAGTATAAAATGTTTTGACTGATGAATTCAGCTCCTCATTCTTCACTTACATACCGACAATGCCCACTGGCTTTATCCAGGTTATTTGATTCCCCCTATAAGGCAGAACTGGTGGTTTGGAAGCTAAAGGAAATTAAATCAATTTATGAAAATGCTATCCCCTCCACCTCTTGGAAACTGTCTAAGGAAACACATTTTAGGTGGTCTTAAAGACTCTTCCCACATTCTTCCCAGGCAGAGTGGGAAAGATTGATTTGTTTTCTTATAGTTTCCCACAGAGAGCTGAAATGAATATAGTGGGTTTTCCTTGACAATTTTAACTTGGACTTTCTCTGCCTCAAACCATTTGTGTGCCCTCCAGTCATTGATTAGTCCCAGGAACTGCACTTGTGAGTTAACTAGTAACACTTCACCAGCCGGCAGAGCCCAGAACACTGTGGTTTTGTATGTCTTATAAAAATAATTGCTATCGATTTTTTCTACATCTGATAATGGTTTGGTAGGCTTTTCCTCAATGAAATATTTATTATCAAGGGTGCCATTTTATGTGATATTTAAAAAACAAATGTCAAATGAAAACCCCATTCCTTTGAAATACTGGGCTCCTTGCTTAGGATCAGAGATTTAGAACTAGAAAGAGTCTAAGAGATTAAGTCCAATCCCTTTATTTTACAGATGAAGAAACTGAAACTCAAAGAAGTTAAATTACTTGCCCACAGTCACACAACTAATTAAGAGTCTGAGGCAGGATTTGAACTCAGGTTTTCCTAACTCCAAGTCTAGCACTCTATACATCATGTGGTTATACTGGCCAAAACACTCCTGAAAGCAAAAGCATGACAATTGTATTGTATAGCAAGGACCCTTCTTCTATGGAGGGAAGTGGGTTTAAAAATCTCCCTTAATAATGTTGTACATTTAAACATTTACCCAATGGTTCCTTAAATGTTGAAGCATCAACATAACATCCCTACTCCCTACCTTTACGAGCTTATAGGGGAAGGATGCTTCTTCTCTGGTCTTTCAGGAAGAGGAGGGCAAACTTCTCCCCAATTATGAAATGATAACTCTCCTTCCTCTCCTAGTATTACGCATCTTGCCCCACTGAGACTTAAAGTTGGCAAAGGCTAATATAATTTGAGATGGGCCTTTATCATCCCTATAAAAATATATATTAAACACATACCTGGGTCTGTCTTCCAGCACATTCGGTACAATCCCACCAGAGTGAATACTGAGAGTGTTATTGCTATCAGAGCAATAACAACTGGCAAAATCACACCTAAAATGAGCAAGAAAACTGTATGATTCAGGGAAACTTAGGAAATATTAACATTAATAACATCTTCCGTTTATGCAGTGCTTAATCGTCTACAAAGGCAAGTCACACAAACTCATTTGATATCTTCACAATAATTCTGGGAGATAGACAGCATAGGTAGGTCTTATCATCTACCTTCTATTGTTTAATAAAAAGCATGCCCCCTTCTCCTTACATGGAGAAAAGTCAATCTTTTTAAATTTAGGCATAGCAATTTTAGTTCATTTAGTCGTATTTTGCTCAGTGAGGCAAAGAAGTTAAAAGCTGAGAATAAGAATGTATGGTCTGATCATTGGGAAGATGAGAAAAGGGTGAGAAGATGCGGCACATTGTTTTTCTACTCAAAACTTTCTCTCAGGTTTCCTTATCCCAAGTCTAGCACTCTACCCACTACATACTTAGGTATTAGATAGAGCTCTGGACTTGGAGAGCAGGAAGACCCGAGTGCAGATCTAGCTTCAGACACTTACTAGCTATGTGACCCTGGGCAAATTGCTTAACCTCTGCCTGCCTCAATTTCCTCATCAGTAAAGGGGGGGGGATTATAATAGCACCTACCTCTCAGGATTACTGTGAGTATCAAATGAGATGGTGTTTTCCAAGGGTTTTGTAAGTCTTAATGTGTTATGTGAATACTGGTCATTATTATTATCCTACCAATTGCTTGCCATCAATATGTGATGCTAGAAGTTGGATCGAATATATTGTAAGACTACAAAACCACACCAAGTTGCTAATTTAAAAATGTCAGATGACACTGTTCTGGGTGTCGTTTGTTTGGGTGGTGATAGTGGTGGTGGTGGTACTTATAGTTGTGGTGGTTGTCGGTTGTGTGCTGTCGTTTGTTTTTGGGGTTGTGACAGAAGCATTTGTTGCCATTAGCTGAAATGATGTTCTGCGTCAGCTCAATAAAAATGATTTTTCATCACTAAAATGAACAGACATGTGGAAAAGGATGTCCAGTCTAAAATGGAAGAGGGATTCTCCAGAGTTTGTAAAGTTCTTCACATGGGACTATTTCTGGATGACATTGTACTGATTATGTCAAGTTCTGTAACAAGGCTGAGCCTTTTAAATGACTTCCAAAAGAGGTTAGTCTAAATACCCCAGCATATTTAGCAATATGCTAATATTGCTATCCCAGCAAATATCCCTGCAAATAAAAACAAGTAGATAGGGAATACTTATTCTCCAAACTACGATATGCAGTTAAATAAAATAATAAAAGTATTTGTTCCCCTTAATTTTGTATCCCCTTAATGAAAGGATTTGTTCTGTAAAACTTGGACTCCATCAAAAAGCTGCACCTGAGGACCTAGAAGGCCATATGTGGCCTTGAGGCTGCAGGTTCCCCACATCTGGCTGGTCTATGAATATATGTATCTCAGATGGAAACTGTGATTTGACCTTCAACTGAGCCCAGAAATGAATGGGAGAAGGGCTGGATTGGATTCGAGAAATTGTGTAGTATTTTTAGTAGTCCCAAGCTTCTCCCTGATACAAAGTCTCATCTTTTTTAATAGCACATTTTTCCAGTGATGCAAGACTGCAGAACATCACACTGTCTGGAGATTTAGTTACAAGTCATCCAAAGCATATTGGAAAGGCACAGGGAGGCTGATTCAGCTACAACATTTTACCTGTGAAGAATTGCTCTGGAGAAATGGCCTAAAGGACATATATCAAAGAAAAGGAGGATGGATGCCAGAATGGGCATGCTCCTTTAAGAATAGCATGGAACACTCAAAATTACTTGACCTGGCAATGAATATGAAAGACAGCAGCAAAAAAGGGCTTTCCCCCCACTATGTTGAAATAAAGAGAAAGACAATCAGACAGCTGCATATATTGGATGGGATGATGACAATGGACAATAAAGAGAAGACAGAACTACTCAATCTTTCTATTTTGCTTCAGTCTTTACCAAGGGGAATGCTATTCATGTGAAAAGGATAGAACTATAGGAAATAGAGAATTGGCTCCCAAGTTAAGTTGCAAGGTAATAAGAACACACTTTGTTACTTTCAATGAGTTAAAGTTGGTAGACTCAGAAGAGCTATAGAGAGTGTCTCCAAATTCTTAGTGCAACCTGAAGCTGCGCTAAGATTTTAGAGACCCCCATGTATATCCATGAATGATGAATAAAGTAGCAGATGTGATTCCTGAGCTATTGTCAGTGGTCTTTGAAAAATTATAAAGAACGGAAGAGGTGCCATAGGTCTTAGAGATAGAAATGTGTCTCTAAAGAAAGAATGGAGCCTTCATTGATTTTGACTTTGATTCCTGGCAAAAATTCTAGAATGTCTTATTAAAAGAACAGATGGTTTGTGGTATTTAAAAAGTGAAATAGTTTTCCCCTTTTATTTTTTTATTCTTTATTACAAGTGAAATGGCTCTCTGGGTAGAGAGATATATTTGGAATGAGGGTGACATGAAAACAAAAGGTATCAAAAATTTTTTTTAATTCTTTAAACCTATAAAGGGAGAGACAATGACAAGTATGGACCCAATAAATGGCTGTTCAGTCTTTGTTTGAGTATCTCTAAGGAGAAAGAACTCACTGCCTGCTGAGAAAATTAGGAAATTTCTCTTTAGCTTGGCCTCACTACAACTTCTACTTCCGGTTATTGTCTCTGGGACCAAGCAGCATGAGTCTAATTTCTTATTCACATGATACTCCTTCCTATCCTTGAAGATTGTTGTCATATAGACAAGTAGGATGTTTTTAAGAATACGTCATGCCAGTCTCTGACATCTTCTAACATTATTACTTGACTAGAACGTAAAGGGAATGCCAAAGACATGGCATATCTTTATTTCACCAAAGAATTTAACAAATCTCTCATACCTTTCTTGTGGGTAAAATAGGAAGATGCAGCCTAGATGCTAAAACAGTTTGGTGGATACAGAAATGGTTGAATGACCCATGGATATATATCTATTTCTATATATTCATCCATCCATCCATCCATCCATCCATCCTCATATCTATCTATCTGTCTATCTATCTATCTATCTATCTATCTATCTATCTATCTATCTATCT